GAGTACTTACATGTAGCCAAATGAAAGTAATATTTTAAAGATTATTGGAGTTTCCAAAAATGGAATTTTCGAAAAGAGAATTAATATCATGGTTATTAGCTAATAAAACTCATATTCTACTACATCTAACTAACAAAGGTACTCTTGTTATTCATAAATTAGTATGATTAATAGAATTGATGGCTTAAAATAGTTTTATTTATCTTATAATCAAAATACTTAAAATATGGATTACAGGATACTTACAACTTTTGGGGATGAGATTAAATAAATAGAATTTATTTAAGATCCCAAAATAAAAGTTGTAGTTGCTCCAGATATTTAAAATTTAAATTAAACTTTAAAACTTTACTAAAACACTTTTTAAACTATTTAAAGAGCTTAAGTTTATTTCTAAAATTTCTCTTTTATCTTTACAAATAACAATTAGCTATATCTGTTTTCAAATTCTACATAATCAGTAAAATGGTAAAACATTGTAATAAAAGACTAAATCCTTTAAAATAATCAGATATTATTTAGAAATCTTTCTGATGTATCAATAACTAATTTAACAGTTGAAAATGTAATATTTAACTAAAATTATAATGAAAGTGATTAATTGAGTAATTGGAATGAAACTTTAATTCTATTTACTGACTGCAATAATATCTATCTTAATAACTTAACAATTTAAAATACACAATTGTGGTAAAGGTCTCTATTATTTGGATTTTTGAGAGTAAATTAAATATAAATAAATAATCTGACAATCATAAATAGCAATTTCTACTAAATTATGGCATTTTTAAATGGAAAAAGCATTAATATAAATTAAATTAATATGGTAAATAATACAAATTCTCTAAGATTACCTTATGGAGCTGCAGCTCAAAAAAGCTATGATTATTTATAGGATGGAAGTGAAAAATTTGCTATAAGTATTGTAGGATACTAAAGTACGCTACTATAAGGAATAAAATTCATATAAAATTAAAATATCTTATTTCTGAAATATACTAATAGTTTCAAAAGTGAAAGAGAATAAATTACATTATTCGATGATACAATTTAAATCTCAAATTTTATCATGTTGTAAACTAAAACTTCTTTGGATAACTCAATCATCACTTCAAAATAATTAAGTCAAGCCCTAATTAGTATTTAATCAACATAAATTAGCTTTATTAATTTAAATTATAGATAAAATTAAGGAAATATCCTTATATAAAATTCAGATGAAATCAAAATATAAAATTCTGTCTTTTAAAATAATACATCTCTTGATGGAGGAGCTCTATAATTTATTAATGCAAATTAAATAGTAATAAATAATTGTTCTTTAAATTACAATATAGCAAATGGATCAGGTGGAGCTATATTCTTAAGAGAAGCCAAAAAATTTATTATCGATAATAAATCAAATGTTTCTTTTAATTTTGCCGAAATAGGTGGAGGAGTAAGAGTCATATCCTCATAATTTGATCCTAAATAGACCATTATAAATGAAGCTAGAATTAGTTAAAATACTGCTCTTATTTATGGAAAGGATATAGGAATTTTCCCATTCAAAATTATTTTAAATTTATAACACTAGAAATTGAGAAAATTACAATTAGAAGAAAATCAAAAAGGAAAAAAAAACTTGGTGTTTAAAAATAAATACTTTGAAAAAATTATTTCAGATCGAATTTTAGGTGAAGAAAATCTATTTATTGAGTCATTCAGAAGTGGTAATTTTTTACCATTAGATATACAATTTGTAGACTAGTATGATTAATTAGTTTAATTTTCTGTTTAAAAGTTAAAAGATGAGCTTTATCCTTCTAGTGTGTAACAGGAATTAAACTCTTTTCAGATTGAAATCACTGCTGATAGCTTAATTGATTCACAGGCTATTGGTTAAACTTTTGTCAATTATAATTAGTATAATGAAGACTAAAAAACATTTAAATTTACTTCTCTCTAAATTAATGCAGATCCTTTATCTTTTTAGTCCTTTTTAATAAAAGCTATAACTAATTCATTTTTAAAATCAGCTTAAATTAACTTAAAATTAAACATCCAATTCCGTTAATGTTAGAGAGGCGAGATTTATAAAATAATAAATTAAAATATTTAAATATGTGAAGTATGCTAAAGTGGATTTTATTCATTAATAGACCCTCAGTAAAGTAAAAATTAAACTTTAACTTGTATAAAATGTCCTGCTCAAGCTACTTCTTGTGAAGCTAATAAAATTATTCTTAAAGATGGCTATTGGAGATTGAACGAGAACTCTGATGAAATATTGGAATGTGATGACTTTACTTCAACAAAAACATGTATAGAAAATAACCCTAATAGTAAATAAGGTTGCATAAAAGGATATATAGGTCCTTTATGCTAAGAATGTGATTATGAAGGTAAATTATGGAATATCAGATATAGTTAATCTTCATTAAACTAATCTTGTTAAGAATGCACTCAAGCCAAACTAATCTACTCTTTACTATTCTTATTCAGTAATTTTTTTTTTTTTCGATTACGAATTTTAATTAAATTTAAATTTATCGAAATAATTATGAATTCAAACTTCAAAATAATTACTTTTTATGATAAATAATAACTTAAACTTTGTTAAATAATTTTATTATATAAAAAATAGCAATATTGTTAATTATATATTTAACGATCAACATTATAATGTTTGCCTAAAATTTCAGTTTTCACTCTACTAGTACTTATTTGCGCTACATGAAATTTCTACCACTTTCTGCTAGCTGTGTAAGAGATCAATCAACTTACTATATAAAAACCTTAACAAATTATATTTAGATATCATCTATAATTTTTTAAAGTAGTGTAGAATCTTCAAATTATGCAACTTTAACTAATGTGTTGAGTTATTTTGGAATCCCTTCGACATAAATACTTTCTGAAATTCACTGTTTATATCCTGACTATTATTTTAGTAAATACGGAGTGACTTAGATAAAAATTTTGATAAAATCTATATATCCAATACTTTTACTAGCTTTAATTATTTTTATTTTTTATGTTTTAAGAAAACTAAAGAAATTTGAGATAAAGTTACATCACAATTATGCTATTCTTACAGTAATTTTCTTTTAGTTTTAACCAGAACTGATAACTATGTTAACAAGCTCTTTGTCTTGTCGCAAAATAGGTCAGAATGAATATATATCTATCAATTTATTACTAAGCTGCTCTGATACTTAATATAAATTGTTTACTTATATTTATAGCATACCTTACTTGCTAATAATACTTTTACTCCCTCTTTTTGCATTTAAGAAGCTTTACAACAATAGAAATATCCTAGATTATTGCACTACTAAATATAAATTTGGATATTTCTATCTAGACTATAAGCCTAATCTCTTCTTTTGGGAGTTTATACGTATTTACTTTAAAACTTTGATAGCTATTATCTTCATCTTAACTTTATAGTATAGCAATAGCTTGACATATTTAGCTGTTTGTCTAATTTTGTCATTATATTTAATACTGAATTATATTTATTAGCCTTATCTACAAAAGAAAGTTCTTATATTAGATTGTACTTCAATTCTAATACTAATAATTAATATCTTTTTATAACAAATTCGATCAATAAATAATACCTATGAGATATTAGTCCTTGCACAGATGATACACTTCTTTTTTATAACTTCTGTTGTACTTATTATTGTTCGTCTAAAAATAAATAATTAGCGTTCAAGATAATTCATATTAGTAAAAAAATTCTTTTAAAAATATTTAGCAAAAAGGATGTTTGATATTATATTTAACAAAGAATAAGACCATTAAAGATCATTAAAACGATGGATTAAATTAAAATAAAATATAACATTTTTAATAAAATAAAAAGCTGATTAAATGAAATTTAATTGTGACTTTATAATTAGTAAACAAGTATCTAAAACATAAAGTAAAAATAAAAATTACTTAAATATAAATTAAATTAAATATTAATTTACTTAAAAATAGAAAGTCCATCGGATATGAAACTGAATCTTAATAAACAACAGACTGAAGAATTTACTTCTTTAAATCAGCTATAACCAATAAAATCAAGTAAATAAATTAACTTTGTAAATAAATTGAATTAATATTATCTTTATTTTAAAATATAGATCCAAAGGTTTCTAGTATTTCAAACTTTAATAGAGGAAAATTTTTAAATTTGAATATAGAGAAAGGATCAAACTTTTCCAACTTTTTAAAGGAGTCAGAATAATAAATCAATAAATAATGTGATTTAGACTTATAATCTTAACTGAGCAGTTAAGATATTTAAAATAGTTGGTAATATAATGAATAGCCAAATGAATATACATAAAAAAATACAATAAAAGATATGAACATATTGAAATAAAATAACTGTATTAAAAAATGATATCATAATATACTGTTTTTAAGTTAAATTTTATATGTAATTCATTTAATAACTATTTACTGTATTTAATAAACGCTTTTTTATGAAATAATAACATTCTTTATTTCAAAAAATTTTGTTATTTAATATTATTTATTTTCTTCTTTTAAAAAGTGAATAAATTTTCAATTCAAGTCTTAATTAATTTGTTGTATGTAAATATTAACCAAATAATTTTTAATCAATAAAACTAAACATTTTTTACTTCTTATTTGAAAATAAATTTTTGAATTATCTTTTATTAAAAATTATATTTAATAGTTGGGTACATTTTATCATCTTATAAATACATGAAAAAATAAATTAATTTGTAAAGCAAATTTTAAGATTTTAAATAAAAAGATCTATCTAATCATAAACTAGATATACAAATATTCTCACTTACAATTTAACACTAAATATGTCATTCATCAGCTTTACAAAAAAAGAAAAATTTTTAAAATTTATTTTTAAAGAATAAATACTAGCTTTATATTCGCTTTAACATGAAAGTAACTTCAAGTATTTTGAATATTAATTTAAATTTTAGAATGATAAGTTTTTGTAATTTCAAAATTAAAAATATTTTAATTTTAAAAGCTCACCTTCTTATGAGTTAATATATTGTTTTTTAGATAGAATCCAAGGTAAGAGGTTTTTCAATATGCTCATCTGCTCCCGATTAGAAAGACAAACTTCTGTTTTCTTAATCTCCAAATGCAGTTACTATGATAATAATTGGTTTATAAAATATTTTATTTTCTTTTTATAATTCTCTTATTTTTTTTGTAGCTTGAAACCCATCCATTACAGGCATGTTAATATCCATAAATATAATGTCAAATTAGGATTATTCAACTTTTTAAACAGCTTACTACCCATTAAAAGCTTCTTCGACTTGTATAGTTTTGTATTTTTACAAAAGATTTCTCAAAGCCTTAATATTAAATACAGTATCATCTACAATTAAGACTTTAATTGTTGTGTTTTCAAAATAGTCCTGGATAGCTTCTTAATAATTCAATTAGCCGTTATGAATAGATTTTTAATCATAAAATGGAATATTTTAAGATATTGTTAGGTTTATATTATTATTTTCTACGTATAAAGTAGTAGATGAGTGGATTGTGTGATATTATTTGTTAATACTTAGATGCTTTTAAGCTCCTGATTCTCCAATTTCATTTTTGTTATCATCTTAGTCTCTACTCTCTTCTATAAATTCGTATAATCTTCCTCCTCCTTGATAGTTAAAGGTCGATTATTTTTTAGAATCTTCAAGATTTGCATTAGAGTTAAATTTAAAAAGTTTATTTGTTTAGGAAGTGTAAGTAGAATTTTAGTATGCGCTGTAGTATCTCTCTCTATTTTTTTCTTTATTATCAGTATTAGAATGTTGTCTTATTCTTAATTTTTCTCTTGCTATATTCTAAGATACTGGATTCTATAAAAAATTGTTATTATTTAAGAACAATTAATTAGATTTGGAGATTAGATTTTATTAGGTAGGATAATTCGGAGTATTATTTAAACTATCATTTACTGACAATTTTTAATATTAATTATATGTCAATATATTAAAATTGGGCTCACTTTTTTCACAATGATCTCTTAAAGTTTTTATACCACTTGATTCATAAGGTTAATTAAAAGATTGCCTCTTGGTTTAGTTTGGAGATGATTAAAAAATATTAATTTACTCTTTATTTGAAAAAGAGCTATTGTATTAAGATAGTTTAGCAACACTCTTCTATAACGACTTATTAATTCCAAAATAATTATTATTAAAATGTTCACTATTTTATTTTGAAGTTTGTGTGTAAACAGAATCAGTCTCATAGTTTGGGCTAAGGTTAAATTTAACATTGTTATATTGTATATATTCTCTATTTGAATCAATACTTTTTTCATATTACATTTTAAGTTGACCAGTTGGCGAATTTTCATAAGAAGCAAATAATTCGTTGAAGTTGCTTCTGAATGAATCTGAACCTCCACTATTTGCTCTTCCATGACTACCTTTATTAATTTTAGAGTTAACAATTTGTGTTGAATTAAGGTGGTATGGAATAACTCTAATTTAGCTTGCTTTTAAATCGTTTATATTAGTGTCTATATATTTATTTGCCACAACACCATCTTCTACTTGCTATTCGTCTTCAAATTCATCCATACTTGATTGTTCTGGGTGTTATTTCTTATTTTATAGCAAATTGTTAAAGTCAAAGTCTTAATTTTTTAAGTTCCAATTTTAATTTATGTTAGGTTTATTTCTAACTTATCCATTATCAGTTAAACTAATTTTTCTTAAATTGAACTATTCTTTCTTATACTTCATTTTAGAATCACCTGTATTTTTCCTTCGTTATGAATCTAAATTTAAAAAATATTAATCTGTATCCTAACTTTCAGTATTCTTGTAAGTATCTCTGGGTTCCTCAGTAATAATTTTTTGAGATATGCATTCTTTAAAATTCAATTTATTATCAGTGTCCTATTTTTCATATGGCTTTACCTCTTCCAAAATAGTGTTTATTTGATTATTTCGAGATTTAGATATAATAAAATTATTTTTTTGCATCATCTAACTCGTATTGTAATCAAAAGCACTTTTGTCTATCTAGAAGAAATTTTATAATTACCTATTTTTAAAATTAATATCATTTTAAATTCAAATTTGGAATAAATTTACGATATTTGTAATCCTTCTGCATTACTGCATCTAGATTTATTGTGCACTAAAAATACTTTAAAAGAAAATGTGCTTCCTTGATTTTCTTAACTTTCTATTCTAAACTCTGTATCAGGTCCAACTAATTATAGTAAACTCTTTCCAATCAACAAACCTATCCCAACACCTTAATATTAAAATATTTTAAAATTTTGTTAAATTATTATTCATTAAGATACTATTCTACAAATTAAATATTTTTTGAAGAATAGAAATTAAAATATAAAAATCAATTAATTTTAAGAAAAATTAAGATATTTTAGAGAAAATTATCATAAAAAATTAAATTAATAAATAATATATCATTACCATGCCTCATATCTTTTTTTCTTTTCATTTATATTTTTTATATCGACTTTATTGTTTCATTACTCATTCCTATACCTGTATCTTTGATAGAAATAAGCAGATGATTTGGGGAAGTTACTTCAAAGATAATAGTAATTGAGCCCTCAAATGTGCACTTAGCAGCATTTCCAACAAGGTTTATGAGTATTTATTTAATTCTACTAAAGTCATTGATCAACTTACAAGAAACTTAGAGATTTCCCATTAGCATATAATTTAATTTAACATGTTTTTCTTATGTTTATCTTTTGTAAACAGATAGCACTTCCTTAATAAGCTTTGAGAGAGTAAATGTTTCTAAATTTAAGTGAATATTTCCTTTCGATAAACGCGAGTAATCTAAAATATCATTGATCATGTAAAGCAGCATTTTACTATTTTATAGAATATCAGAAACAGCATCTTTAACTTTAGATTGAACTTAATTTTGTAAAGTTTGAGCTATAAGAATAATCCCATTTAGAGGAGTTTTTAAATTATGAGTAATTGTTGAGAGTATATCATTTTTGAAAGAGTCTATTTCTTTCATGCGTTTTATTCTCATTTTTTCTGAAATGTCATTCATTATAACCTAAAAATTAATTAAATATTTATTTTATCAAACTAATTAATACTATTTTTTATTAAGTTTATTTCATAATATTTTATAAAATAAATTTATTAAAAATGATCAAATTATATTTTTTTAATTTTTGCTCAATCTCATTACAAATAATTTATATTTTTATCATTTATTTGTTTAAATATTTTTTATTTTTTAATTTATTTTAAAATCTTAAAATTTTTATTTGTTTCATTAGATTTTTTTTCTAAAGTTGGGTTATATTTAGAATTGATTGAAAAGTTTATTAAAATTTTTTTATTGAGGAGGAAAATAATTTAATAAAAATAAATAAATAAACAAAATTTGATTATATTTAAAAGTATTTACCATCAGAGCTTACTCATTTTCCCATTCAATTTCAATAATTTTTATATCAAAGAATTTTCTCCTTTTTTTATCAGAGTCAATATACATAACATCTAAAAAGATATCTTCTTGTTACTGCTCAAAAACTTGTGAAGCCTAAGGGCTAAGATTTTTTATAGATGAAGGGGGTGGTTACTTTGATTAATTTTCCTATTTACCCGCTGAACTATTTTCAGCATTATGTTCCATGCGTTGCCTGTTGAATAAATTCATATAGAGTTTTTATAAAATATGATAGTACAATATGGTAGTCAGCTGAGAGCTTGCCATGCCATATTCTTTGATTTCTTATTTAGTAAAGTTTTGCTTTAGAAATTATTAAGTCATAGCTTTTTATTTAAATGAATTTCTGTGCTAATTTTAGTAATTAATTTGAGATTTACTGTCGTGATTGTTAAGTTAAATTTAATTAGGATCTTAACTTTCTTATTTATAAGTAGTCTAATTCGAATTAGAATTGCATATAATTGGAATGGGGTTTATTTAAAATGTATGAGTGTTTGACGTCTTGGAATGGTTGTTTTCTAATATTTGTGTAGCAGATTCTAATTTTAAATTGTTTTATTTTAAATTTAAGTCAATTTGCTATGAATTCTTTTGTTAATAATAAGAAGTCTATTTCATTTAGCTAATTTAATTTCTCTTTGCAACTCTGTACTCAGGAGAATAACAGTTTATATCTGTTTCTTCAAAAGCTTTGTCGAAGCAATACTTTAATTGCTCGTCATATTCTGGATTGATATTATTATCATTAGCATTGTTATGTTCACCTTATAGAAATAAATATTTTAACTTATCTTTCATATCCATTTTCTTTTTTATATTGAAAATCTATCTACAAAATTTATTAGCAAAAACAATGTCTAAATCTAAGCTGCTAATATCTTCTTAAATTACCTTTGATGAATCCAAATTTTGAGTTTTAATTTTTGCTGCAAATATAGGAATAGGTAAGGAACTTTTCAAAACGGAGTGAGCTGTATTTCCCTTTTAGGTATCTACATAATAATCCATTAGAAACTATTTTATTTTATCCTAGCAAATGTAAATTATGATAATAGAAACCAGCGTTATTTAAAACATTCTAATGACATAGGTCTTAAATTCTGAATTTGCCTCTGTGTTTATTCTTATTATTAAATATATAGACTAGAGGAAAATGGAGCTTATTTTACTTAAGTAGGATTTCATACTTATACTGAGTCCCACTACCAACACTCCTATTAGAAAACAATACCACATGACAAGTTCTATCTCATCTTAAGAAATCGCAATCTCAATTGGAACTACTGACAAAGTATTAAGTAAAATTTTATAGAATATCTACAAATATTTATTGGGCGTAGATGCTACTTAAAGCATAGTTGTTACAATGATCATTAAAAAAAGCTAGACTGATAGGACTAAAACTTAGTAGAGCCTTACTTTGTTTGTAATTTCATATTAAATTATTAGATTAATAAATCCAATAACTAAAATGGATGTAAAAATTATTCCTACTACCTTAAAATGCTTCATTTCTATTTTATCCATTTGCTGTATATACTTTTTATAATAATTGAACTAAGATCTCTTTAAATTTCTCATCTTCTTTTCAGAAATGTACTTTTTTATAAATATTTTCATACTCCTAAAAGGCTCTTTGAAATTGAATTTAAATGCTTCCATCCTTTTTATAAGTAGATTCTACTATTTTATGCAATTCTTAGATTAAAATTTGCTAAATAATTTACCTTATTTTTATTTACACCATAAAAAAGCAATAACACTATACTAAATTGAAATTAAAAAACTTGTTAACTGCATTTTGTTAAAAAAAAATCATCCAACTTAATCTTATTCATTTATATTCTTAGACATTGCTTTCTAATAAAACTAGGATTATTACCATTAAAAGGGAAGTTCATCAATAATTATGCAATTAAGTTAATATAAATTTTATATTATTCAATGAGAGAAATATGTAATCTTCAAAAATTATATTTAAAATATGATGTAAAATTTGACATATTACATTATGGAAAAAAATTGTCTGCTAAAAATATTGTAAATTTCATAAAATATTTTTCTAAATTTTTTTTATTTTTTGAGTAAAATTTTAATACAAATTGCATAAATGGTGATTTTAGAAAAATATTTATTTCAATAAATAATCTGAGATTTGGTCACCTTTTCAAGTAATTTATTTGTATATATTTTGATTAGATTATGCAAATAATAAATTTGCATAATTAAAACTTAAAAAACTTTAAATAAATTTAAGTATATTTTTATATTTTTTATGGTACCAAAATAATCATTCGTTGCTTTTAATTAATAAATCAATAAATAATTCAAGCAAAATTTTTATTTTAAAGTAGTATTGAAATTTTCAATAATCTTAAATTACTTAAAGCATATTAATCTAGTAAAAAAGCAAGTAAATTTTGTTTATGATTTTTCATATAAAGAATTATTCTGATTTTAACAAAGAAAAAACTGTAAATAAATCTGATTAATTTTTATAAACAAGAATCATTATTTTTATTATAGAAATTTATATTTAAATATTTTTTCAACTAAAAATAGAATTGAATAATCCATCAAAACCACTTTCTTGTTTTTCATAATCAAAGTAGGTACAAGCTATTCTTTTAAGCATCTTTTATTTAAATTAAAAAATATTTTTAAACATTTAAATTTTTAATTAATAATAAATATTTTTATTATCTAAATGCTATAAATAAAATAAATATTTTAATTAAATAAAAAATTAATTAGGATTTTTTAAAAATTTTATGATAGAGCTAAGCTTTTGAAAAATTATAAATTGTTAAATAAAAATATTATACAAGTTAAATAGAAGGATCTAATTTTAATATGCTGTTATATTTGGAAGAGAGCTTAGAGTAGGCTTTTCTACTTTTTATTTTGCACGCTCTTATTAAGAAACCTTTTATAAAATAATTAAGAGTTAAAATATTTTTAAATCAAAGAAAAATCAATCAACTAGTAAAATTGTAGAAAGGAGTATCTTTTTTAAAGCTATTCAAAATGTCTTATGCCTCATCTAACTTTTATTAGCTAATTTTACTTTTATTAAAATAATTTCAATTTATTTGATTTCAATCAATCATTTCATTTACCACAATATATATCTTATAACAAAGAATTCAGACTCTACTTCGCAATTGACTGTAGATATCCATTTTTGCAAGAAACTTATAGAAAACTATGAGTCATTTAAATTTATAATATATTTTTATGCTACATGATATTACTTATTATTCAATAAATCTATTGCTACAACTCTGCCTATTTCTTTGTCGCCAATAAAATATCTTAAAATTAATGTAATTAATATTTATACCACAAAAATAAAAAATGTTTTACTCATTTAAAATCTTGTTAGCATATTTTAGCTTGTCTAAACCTTAAGGAAAAATGGAAAAGATAGACATAAGTTCACCTAATTTAAATTTATATAATTTAACTTTTAACTACATTATTAATATTGCCAAATTTACTTTTAAGCTCTTCATTTAATAATTATTTATTTTATGTTAAAACCTCAAAAGCCTTATAAATTAAGTTGGTTGCCTCATTTACATCTTTGTATTAAAGAAGCTCTTTAGCACCTTCCAGAAGTAAGTTAATAGATTCTTGTTGATTACCTGTAGTTACTTTTCTAAAAATAAATATAAATAGATGCCTTATTTAATATATTAAATTGATTTACCTATTTGCCAACATAATTATCTTTTATGAAAACTCATAGCTTTTTCCTTCTTAAAGCAATTCTTTCTACTTTTGAATTGTCTATTAAATTTATTTTATTTTATTATTGTTAACCTATAATATTCAACTATTTAATGTATTAATTTAAGTTACTTCTTTAGCCTTTTAAATGCTCATTTCCTAATAAAAATAAACCTTAAATTATAAGATATGTCTAAAATATACTTGTTAATTTATTTATAAATGATTTGACTTCTTTTTACTTCAAATTAATGTTTATTTAATTTTCCAAAACAATCACAAAAAAGAAAGATTTCAAAAATTATTTAGATAATTTTTTCTATTTTCCAAAAGAATAAATAAACATAATTAAAAAGTATCAAGTTTTTACAAACTTTCTTAAATTAAAATCTCTTCTCACTTGAAAAATTTGTATAATTATTTAAAAATCAAAAAATATTAAAAAATCAAAAAAGAAGTATTTATTTTAAAAGACAAGGAATAAGTTTTTAAAGTCAATATATGTTTGAATAAAGCATATAACAATGGGATAGAATTACACCAAGTTTTTAATACACAATTAATCCTTGCGCTAATAAAATAAATAACTTCTTTTAGGCTATAAAAAGCCTATTCATCATTTTAAATGATGTGGTAAAATCAATCAATCATAAAAAAATTACAATAAAAAAATCATATAATTTAAGCTCGATGATAAAAAATATTAATGGAGATAATTCTGATACTCATAATTTTATAGAAATATTTTTAGATATACATAGATGATTAGAAAATAGAATAATTTAAAATAATAAAAATAATTTAAAATTATATGAAATAAAAAAATCAAATAAAAATAAAATAAAATAAAATTAGATAAATAATAAAAAAAAGAAAATTTAAATAATAATAAATAAAAATAAAAATTAAATTAATTAATCAAATTTATTTTGAATATAAAAGATATTATCAGATAAAAATAATAATTTGTAAATAAATAAAAATGTACAAAACAAAAAATGTTAATAAATGTTTTAAAAATAAAATTTAATAGCTTATGCTAATATTATACCTCATTGTTTTATTCATACATTTTTTTAACTTTTAATTTTAGGATTTATTTATTAAAAACATGATATATTTCACAAAGTTTATGCATTTTTTAACATTATTAAAAAATAGAAGCCACTCACTTGAAAATAGTAATTATATTTCAAAATAAAAGTTAAAAAAGAAGAAATTCATTCACTTCTATCAAATTCATTTAAAAATGAAACCTTTTTTGTTAGTACACCCTTTTATTTTTAAATAATAAATATATTTTAGTAAATTATATCAAAAATATTTCACTTTTATAAATTATTAAGATTGATACCTAATTAATTATTTCCTCATTCTAATTTAAAACGAAAGCTAATAAACTTCTAACAATTTTTTTAATTTAATTTTGTAAAATTTTATAAGGCGATCACAAACAAACAAAAATAAACAGATAATATTAATTAAATTTCATATAAAACTCAAAAAATCAATTCAAAATAGCTTAATTCTTAAAGATTTAAAGATTTTTTTAATGCTATTTTAAGTTTATTACTAATAAATTTAAAATATTCTTTAAAGGTAAATTCTTATTTAAAGTAAAAGTCTTTATTTTTTTATTATTTCTATTAAAGAAACTATTTTATAATTCGTCATAATTTACCTAATTTATTTAATTTAATTGAATCCACCATTGACTCTACCTTTCAAAACTATTTTGGTTATCTTATGCTTTCATTTTATATCCCTTCGTTAGTAAAATTTCTTCTACATTTTAATCTCTGTATTCATCTAAAATATCTTTTACACCAAAAATGGTTTTTACTACTTATGAAAAGCTATTAATATTTGGAGAAATATTGATGTTAATTTACATACCATTATAAATTTCTTCAAAATTTTCCCATTTAAATTCAGAGATATTTATAATATCTCTTAATATTTAATTTTATTAATAAATAAGCAGTTAATTATTTTTCTATTCAACAGGGCTATTTATAAGATCAATATGCTTTTCTATTAACTAATCTGAAATTTTTTAAAGAAATTCTAACAGCTGGCTATTTATTTATTAAAGTGTTTAGGTTGTTTTCTGAGTTTAATTAAATTAATATATAGCAAATTTTAAGTAATCGGTATTTTATTTGCAATTTTCATTTTATTATTTTATTAATTTTTTTATATTTTGAATATCTTAATTATTTTAGTATTCTTTTAAAAGCTCAGCAAATTCTTCCCTAAGAGAAATTTTATTGTAAAAACTCTGAATATACTATTAATCGATTGTTAATATGTTTTAAGTTAATAACTTAATATATGAATCGATTCTTTAATTAAAAATATCTTTGATCTCTTTTAAATGATTCTCTAATTCAGTTAATAATCTTGTTTTGTTGCATTGTTAACTTAATATTTCATTTATTTAATCTAAAAGTTATTAATCTTCTAGTATAGGCCAATTATCAATAATACCTATATTTTCTTAATCTTAATTTAAAATTTGATCTATTACGAGTAACATTTACTCTTTACTTTTCTACTAATTTTAAATCAAGCATCTATCACAACAGAATTGTAAATTTTTATAATCAAACAATCTGCAATTATATTTTTTATGTGATTAGCACTAAAATATGTAATTTCTCTAATCCATTTTTTAAATTTAATATTTTTTAATTTTATTTATTATTAAATATGAATAATTATCAATAAATATATTAACAATTCATTCACTTTACTTAAGTAAAATTATTAGTGGGAAGTATGAAGAGGAGGGCGATTACCCCTTAATATCATCAAATATAAAATTAACAGTTAGCACTAATAATTCTTTATTAAATTAAGATAATAGGAAATTAAATA